TCCAAATCTTCTGGCATAGCATAATGTCCCAAACAACTCTTGGATTATTATAATGAAATAACCATACTTCAGAAGGATTGTGTACTGTTTGATCAACTCTGTTTAAAATACAGAGATAAAAAAGTTACCAATCATGCTTTGGCCCACATGATTTGTAAATTGTGATCCTGATTGACAACATTCATTGAGCCTGTTGTAAGCCTGTTATAAGCCAGTGTTTACGATTTGCACTTTTATAAACGTGCAAGCTACTTTTGCCTTATTATTTATATTTATAGTGCTTTTAAAAAAGGACTAAATATCAGAGTGAGAAATAAAGGGACTTTTGGTTTCAACTTGGTCAAGTATCAGCTTCCTTAAAATTTTGAATTCATTTTCTCTCTCTTTTTTTTTTTATTGAAAAGTTTTTAAAAGTTTACATATATATCCCCCCCTTCCCTCCACCCTCCCCAACCCTCACCCTCCCACCCACCCCCCTCCCTACTTCCCAAAGCAAAATACAGGGTATAACATTCAACGATCATAATCTAACATAGTCTAATTAATTATAACCTCTTACATCCCTCTAATACTTTAACTCCCCATTTACCAAACTAAATTTGAATACATAATAACATCTCTCTATCTATTCATAAACTATTTGAATTTTTTTAGTCCCATATTTACTTTGAATATAATCTATCCGTCTTCTCCATTCTATCATATATTTCTCATTTGAATAGTCCTTCAAATACGCTGAGATTTTTGCCATCTCTGCTAAGTTTGCTACTTTTAATATCCATTCTGAATAGTAGGCAAATCTTCCTTCTTCCAATACTGCTCCGCCAACAATCTTGCTGCAGTTATTAAATTCAAGATCAAATTAGTCTCTATAACCGTACAATCCGTAGTTATACCCAACAAAAATAGCTGTGAAGTAAACTTTATCCTCTTTTTAAGAATATTTTGAATATTCTAGGCCTGGTGGCTCAGCAGACTGATAGCATTGTGATTAACACCAGCTGTCTGCAATTATTGTAAATTCGAATCTCACCAGGCTCAAGGTTGACTCAGCCTTCTATCCTTTCAAAGGTAGGTGAAATGAGGGCCCAGATTGTGGGGGCAATAAGCTGACTTTGTATAAATATACAAAAGTATGAAGGCTATTGCTTAACACATTGTAAGCCGCCCTGAGTCTCCGGAGAAGGGCGGCATATAAATCAATTAAAAAAAAAAAAAAGAATCATCAAATTTTTATCCAGAATATTTTAACCTTTTTACAAGTCCACCATACATGAAAATAAGAGGCATTATCACAATCACATCTCCAACATTTAGATTGTAAATTCGGATACAAGCTAACTTTTTGGGATCTAAATGCCATCTATAAAACATTTTGTAAAAGTTTTCTCTCAAGTTTTGCACTTGTATAAATTTTACATTTCTTACCCATATCTTTTCCCATGTTTCCATCATTATTGGTTGTTCAAAATTTTGTGCCCATTTTATCATACAATCCTTAACTAACTCTGTTTCCGAGTCTGTTTCTATCAATATATTATACAACCTTTTTATATGCATTTGACTCCGGTCTCTAATTTGTTTTACCAAATTTTCTTCACTTTGTATGATACCGATGTTCTGATCTTTTCTCCATCTAGCTTGTAATTGTACATACTGAAACCAAGTTTGGATTACCCTTTCTTCCTTTAATACCCTCAAAGGCTTTAACTTTAATATACCCTTCTCTGTGTTAAGAATTTCTTTATATGTAATTACATCCTGCCTTTGTTCTATACTTATATTCTCTATCGCGTGTCTGGATACTGTCCATAAAGGTATCTTGTCATTTAATTTATATTTATATTTCTTCCAGACACGCAATAAAGCATTCCTTAATATATGACTTTTAAAAGTCCTATCAACCTTCTTGTCATACACTAAGTAAGCATGCCAGCCGTAAACCAAATCATGTCCTTCTATATTCAATATTCTTTCATTTGTTAAATTAATCCAATCACTAATTACTGATAAAACAGCTGCTTCATAGTATAATTTTAAATTGGGCATTTTCAAACCTCCTCTTTCACGTATGTCTTGCATTATTTTTAATTTAACCCTTGGTTTCTTCCATGCCCAAACAATTATTAAAGCCCTTGTGCCATTCTTCCAAGTTCGCATCCTTTTTAAGTATTGGTATCATTTGAAAAAGGAATAAAAATTTAGGCAAAACATTCATTTTTACTACTGCTATTCTACCCAACAAAGACAGTTGTAATTTTTTCCAATTATCCATCTCTGTCTGTATTTTATGCCATAATGATTCATAATTATACTTATATAATTTCCCATTTGAAGTTGTAATATAAACTCCTCACTATCTCACATCCTGTTACTCTTTCTAATTCTTCTTTTTGATTTATTGTCATATTTTTAGTTATCATCTTTGTTTTCCCAATATTTATTTTAAACCCAGATACTTGTCCATAGTGATTAATTATCTCCATTAAACCTGTAGCTGATTTCACTGGATGAGTTAAGGTTACAACCAAGTCGTCTGCGAATGCTCATAATCTATAGTCATGATGCCTAATCTTAATTCCCCATATCTTATCAGAGTCACGTATTTTGTTCAACAATAATTCCAACATTAAAATAAACAGTAATGGGGACAGGGGACAGCCCTGTCTTGTTCCTTTTTCTATTTTAAAAGTTTCTGTTAAACTACCATTAATTATTATTTGCGCTGTCTGTTCCTGATATATTGCTTTAATAGATTTTGTAAAACATTCTCCAAACTGCAACCTCTGCACCATTTTCAATAAAAATTGCCAGTTCAATCCATCAAACGCTTTTTCTGCATCCAAAAATATAAGCACCGCAGGGACTTGGTTGTTCCTTTTCAAATACTCCAATATATTAACAATTTGCCTTACATTATTTTTCATTTGTCTCTCATTTCTAAAACCAGATTGATCATTATGGATCATTTGTTGCATAACTGACATTAACCTATTTGCTAATATTTTAGCAAAAATCTTATAGTCTGTATTAAGTAATGATATGGGCCTCTAATTTTTTGGCTGGGTATGATCTTGATCTTCCTTCAGAATCAGAGAAATAAAGGCTGTTCCCCAAGATAGTGGTACCCCTCCTCCCAATTGTATTCTAGTAAATAATTCCCTAAGGGGTTCTACCATTTCCAATTGTAAATTTTTGTAATAAGCCACTGTCAATCCGTCTGTACCAGGTGCCTTACCAACGTTTAACTGCTTAATTGCCAGTACAATTTCCTCCTCGGATATCGGTTGATTCAATCTTTCCCTTTGCTCATCTATAACTGTAAGAATATTCTCCTTCTCCAGGTATCTATCTATATCTATACCTTGTATTTTATCATCAGCATACAATCTCGTATAAAATTCTAAAAAAGCCTTTTTAATCATATTCTGTTGATACACCTCTTTACCTTTATAGTCTATTTTCTTTATAGTATGAGACTTTTGTTTTTTCCTCAACATATATGTTAACCATCTACCTGGCTTATTTGCATTACAAAAAGTATTATGTTTAGCATATTGCAAATTAGTTGAATTCATTTTCTCATATCAAGAGCTGCAATGGCACAGTGGTTAGAATGCAGTACTGCAGGCTACTTCTTCTGATTGCTGGCTGCCTGTAATTTGGCAGTTCAAATCTTACTAGGCTGAAGGTTGACTCAGCCTTCCATCTTTCTGAGGTCGGTAAAATGAGGACCCAGATTGTTGGGGGCAATATGCTGACTATAAACTGCTTAGAGCGGGCTGTAAAGCACTGTATATAAGTCTAAGTGCTATTGCTAAGTGTTATTGCTATCAGAGAAAAAATATCCACTTATTTACCAAAACATTTAAAGCATAGATTAATAGAATAATATAAGAAAATGATATCTCCACAAAAATGCCTTTGCTTTGATACAAGTTGCATCCTCTATATATTTCAGAGGAACCAATTCAGTGTACAATGTTGACAGTGGTATTCCTCCCATAGGCTTCAGTTCAGAAGACATTGGGGAGGGAGTTAAAAATGATAAACATTTCTCATTGTGAAGGGTCTTTGGTGTTCTCTAAATAATGTCTCCCTTGAAGATGTTTCATTAACCAAACTAAATAACATCAGCAGTATTTGTGGGGAGTGGGGTTTAGTTTATGTTCTGTGGCTTTCCCTGTCAATATTGGTAGGAGTGGTTTTAGTAGGACTATTGGTGAGTAGTTTCTGATTGAACTATTTACTGTTGGCTTGTTTGGCAATTTTTTTATTGGGGTATTGTTCACTTCTTGATTGTTGATCTGATGTTAACTCGGTCTTAATCTATGCTCATCTGGGTATTGATTGCTGGTGAGAAGGTATTAGGTCTTTTCTTCCCTTTTTAACTTATTGATTGTCTCTTTCGCATATGTAGATGTTGTTTACAACTATGTATCTATTGATGGTCGATTTGTCAGAGTGCCAGGCTTCCAAGTCATTTCAATATGAGCTACAAATATTCTCCTTTGTCAGTTTCTCATTATGTATGACATACATACTTGTATCAGATGCAAGGACACAAATGTAAGACATTTGTATAAGACATTATACATGCCAGTGTTCTGGCATCAGTTTGCTACAGGCATCTGTGATATTTCCTTTTCTTTGTTCCCCATTTCTAGATTTGAGCTAACACCTCTTGCTATATGGTCAATTTTAGGGCCAAATAATCTGTTTCATAGACTTTGTGTAGCTACCTGCGTCTTATTTTCCTCTCTATTTTTCTGATTTACTTTTCCAGAGATAACTTTTCCGGAGGTAATCTGAATCTTCAACAGTTTCGGTATTATTGGATGGGATTTTTTTTTCATTAAAGGCTTTTGTTACTGCTCCTATTTTTCCAAATACTTTTTTTTTAAATACAGAACCTACAAAAAGAAGTGATATATTCAAAGTAAAACTTTAGATTTTTTCCAGCTGGAAAAGCATTAATTTTACATTTTATTTACTTTTAGAGAACTAGAGGACGAAAACGAAGCTATCTTCCAGAAGAAGAAAAACCTGAGGTTGGAATCTTGTGATTATATTCATTTTTATTGAGTAGATGAAAATATCAAGAGAAAGAAGCAATGTTTCTAAAATCTTTGTTTTGATTTGTTGTTTCTCTTTCTAATAGGAACGGATTCCAAGAGAAAGACGACAAAGACAATCTGTAGTACAAAAGAAGCCAAAGTCTGAGGACTTAAGAACAGAATGTGCTACATGTAAGGGAACTGGAGACAATGAAAATCTAGTCAGGTAGGGCTAATGTTAGAATCTTTTCCAAAGGAAATTAAAGTTCCATCTTCATCACTTTCTCATCATGGTTGTAATCAATGAAGTCTTAAAAGTGCTGAATAAGGCCAGCTGATTTAAGGGGAATGCATACCTCAGAAACAATTATTTGATCCACTTCTATCCACTAATTGACTTGCCACATGTTTTCTCTGTGGATTTAGATGTAGTGAATCTCTATGTTTATCTGTCAATTTCATATATAGAATTAATACTCTGTCAGGGTGAATTGCTTTGTCTTTTAACAAGACATAAAAGATAAAAAGCCAATCACTTCTGTGATGCAAGATCTGTTTTTATTTTCTGTCACAAAGTTCTATGTGAAGTTAATTTTCACTTGTCTAAAAGTTATACTGATGTCCACAAATTGAAGTATTTTTATTCCAAGGAGTCTCTGAGTTCTAGTTCTACTTTTGCCATGAAAAACTGGCTGGGTGCTTTTGAGCCAGTCATTCTTCTCAGCCCAATTGATGTCATAGGTTTTTTGTTCTGGGGAAAATCGGAAGAGGAAGGAGTTAGGTATGTTAGGTAGGTAAGTAAATAAAAATTAAAACTTGTTCATCCAATTTCTTCATCCCCCAGTTTTACAGAATTGTAAAAACAATTTTTATTCATCTATAAATAGATTTCATTAATCAGATTTCAAATTAAAAATATGGCAATCAACTAATGATTTATAGTTGATACTTCTTAATTCCAACTTTAGTTATGTAATTTATTGTCAGCTTCAAAAATGGAATGATTTAGGCCATGGCTTTAATTGAGAACTGAAATAAATTAAACTCAATTTTTTACTTCATTTGATGTACAGTGTTTTAAAAAACATAGGGTAAGATCATTACATAAATAAATAGTCTCCATTCCATCCAGATTTTTAAAATAAAACATTTAATAATATTCTAAATACTGGTAAATGAAGGAATATATTAAAAAATCTAAAGCTACTGGGGTCTAATAAATAAGTGTGAGAAGGAGAATAAAGAATAAATTAATTCTAATGAGCTACACAAAGCCAAATGGTATTGCAGAGTTGTTGTTGATGATAATTCAGCATTTCAAATAATTCAGAATGACATTTTACCTGTGGTATTTTTAGCACCTTACATCTACCTCAATATAATGAATGTTTAAATTTCAGTGTTGGGACCATACTCATGTTGAATATTGATAGTTTAGGGGAGAAACCAGGAAGAATGAAACATTGCATTCAGAGGCAAAATTTTTCATATACGATACCTGAATATTTGTTGATAACAAAATATATTCTGAATTTCATTTTCTTAAGTCCTTTAGAAAGTGACACAAGGTCCAAGTAAACATTTTAATTATTATTTTTATTTTTTTAGTACTTTGCATACTAAAACATAACATAACATATTAATAGTAGGAACTGCTACCATATGAGTGTCCTTTTGCTCTTTCTTTGAAAGTATGATTTCCTGTGTGGATCTGCTTGTTATGGAATAATTTAATGTAGTTGCCTTTATAATAGCAGTGTGGTTCTAGAGAAAGAAGAAAACTCCATTCTTGTTTTCTGCACTGTCTTCAAGAATCTTAGCATGGTTTACTAGAAAATAGTATTTTTTACAAACCTGTAAGCTTTGATATGGTATGAGCCAAGGAACTATAAGGAAATATTGGCATTACCTAAATTTGAACAATTAAAGTGGAAAGAAGCCATTGGCAAAGAAATGAAATCCATGGATGAACGCAGAGTGTTCACATCTATGGCTTTGCTACAGGGTTGCAAAGCTATAGGTTGTAAGTGGGTGTACAAAAAGAAAGTACTACCCAACAATAAGGTCCAGACCAGACATAGCTTGTGCAATAAACTTTCTAAGCCGCTTTACTGCTGCACCAACCCAATTGTGTTGGATGGGTATAAAAAGGAATTCTTAGGTATTTGAAGGAACTGTGAATTCGGGTCTTCAAATACAGGTCTGGGAAGAATATTAAATTATTTGATTTTATTTCTATTCCAGTTATGAAGGGAGGAGTGTCAGAGTATGTTCATAGGTTGGGATAGACAGGGTAACAGGTCAGCCAATGGGGACTGTTTGGATAGACATGGTAACAGGTCAGCTAATGGAGACTGTTTGGAAATTGAAAAGTAGTATTTGTTAGTATGGGACTATAAGAGACAGTTTGGAGTCTGGGCATGGCTTAGACTTGCTGAACTGTATATAAGAGTTGGTTTGGTCTCTGTAACCAGAGTCTCTGTACAATATATTTGCCTCTGTATCTCTCTACTCTGTAAGGCATGAGCTTAAATGGTCTTCGGGGGATGGTAGAGGACAGGAAGGCCTGGAGGAAAGTTGTCCATGGGGTTACGATGGGTCGGACACAACTTTGCAAGTAACAACAACAAATTATCAACAAAGCTTTGATCATTCCAATTTGTGTTTAAGGCGTTACTGCTTTTGTATACGCTTTTTAGATGTTAAAGCTTCAGTGCTCATGTTATATAGCTGCCTGTCAATGTTTTATGTTGCATCTTGTTTTATATTGATAAGTTTGGTACAACATATAAATCTAGCTTTTTTTTTTTTTACTTTTTATTTGAGAAAAAGATCTTTATTCCAGGTTATTTAAAATGTATACATGATTTTATTTTATCTGTGGACAATTTCATTCACAGATTTTAATTTCCAGCGGCCTTTGAATATCATTGCAAGTTAAGGCAAACACATTTATTTATTTATTGTATGGCATTACAGGAATGTTTTTGGGAGATGATTCCAAATATTAAATTTTATTTCTTTTGTCCAGCAGTCAAGAATGTTTTCAATTCTATTATCTATTGTTAAATAAATGCTGCTGGTTTTTTTTTAAAGAGTTATAGAAATGTCTTCACTCCATTTTTTAAAAGTAACTTGAAATATTATGGAGTGAAGTAATCTTCTGTTTCAGGGGAAGGCTTTAGTTAAGATAATGTATATGATCAGTTTCAGGGTTTTACACTTCCCTAGTTTGTATGAAAAATTAACATGCTATTAAAATTGCTGCTACTGTTTATTTCCAAACTTTTGAATATGGCTTTTATAATCTGAATGCTGAATTCCATTTTTAAGAAAAAAGTAATTAGTTAGTGTGAGATAACAACTGTTAATTCAGTGCAAACTCTTATGTTATGCTCTCTGCTCTATAATTTATTTATTTTTCAATTATGATTGTCAGTCTCTTGACAGCTGCTTGAAAAGAAAGTAACTTTTTAAAGCATGATTTCACAAAATTCTCTTTAGCAAGGTTTATTAAGAAGAAAGAGTAATAGTACAAAGAATTCCAGCAAGTGAACCAATTTTCATATTAAGACTTTCCATTTTTACTTCTGCTCTTGAAAGTTTTAGGTTGTACCAGAAGGGGGTTGGTTCCCTTCTTTGATAATAGATAAATTTCCAGCTGTTGTTTTCATGATGTTGTTTGAATATTTTATGATTTTGAGAACCAACCTTTCAGTAACTATATTGTTGGTCAATATATTTACTAGAAATATTGTTTATATGGGAAGTTACCTAGAAATATATATCTAATGTATAAGGGAGTGAAAGAAGTAGAATATGTCTTCTTTAATCAGGAATTACTCTGCCTTTGGAAATAAACTCATAGAAATATGTACATAGTATATTGGAATCCGCCAAGTGTGAAAACTACTTTTTTCTAAGATTTCTCAATTTCAAAAATGAATTGCTACCAAGTGGAAAGACAAGAATAGACAGGTTATTGTTTGAGAAACATATCCAGGGAACCATTACATTCGCCTAAGCAATCAACTGGTTCTTTAGATCCTCACCGTAGAAATTTATGAAATTTTCATTGATATTTTTTTTAAAAAAACTGTAAAAATGTACAGAATGATATCAGAGTGTTAGAGATATTCTAAACGAATAGTTTTGTTTAAGATAACTGTTTGGTAAGACACAGATCATTTTTTTTCATAGCCATGAATTGCTGAAAATGCATATGAATAATTCTGGTATTTGCAGTTCTTTTTCATTATTGTTATCAAATATGGAGTATTTCATTAATATTGAGAGCCATTCCCTACCACTTGTATCCTACTTCTTTTTGCTTGATTAATTTTATTTTGCTGTGCTTATTAACTTAAAAAAAACCAATAGAAATTTCCATCTGTAGAAGAAAAAACTTTATTTTGAGTTTTCAGAAATTAAATGATATGGAATATAATTTCTTTTTGCAAATAAATATTGCTGTAAACTAATAACAAAATAACAATATTTGCATATTTTAACTTGAAAAATTATTTTAGGAATATTTTAACCTTCATATGTGAAGGAGAGAACATGACATTTGAACCATGTTAATAGAGGGGAGAAACTATATTTTTATTAGTTGTATGTGTCCATTTATTTATTATGTGTTTGTTTATTTAGCAAATTTATAGTCCGTCTATCTCATATTCATGAAGTTAAGCCAATAAGTTAACATGGAAATTTTTTAGTCTATTGTATTGATCAGGATGTTTGAGTATTTATAAAATCTGGAAATTTTATCCATTTAGTATAGTATATTCTTTTATAATTATAATTATAGCTTTAATTATAAATCATCATGTAAGAATGAATTATTTTGCTTATCACAAAGATTAACAAATGTAATACATTAAAATCACATACTGTTTAAAATCAATAATAGGAAATAAATAATAAATTGTAGCTCAAAATCAATATGGTAGGTAATATGAAGAGGCAAATTTAACTGTAGTCTTAGTAATGGTATGGTCAACCTTAGTTTGTATGATTTAAAAGGGAGAGGGTATGGTGTTCAGTTTAAATATAAACAAAATGTAATAGAATTCTTAGTGCAAGGCATATAAGAATTGAATTTTAAAAATGAAATTTCCAACTATAACTGTTTGCCATGATTTATACAATGTTGTATAATTGTAATACTCTACTATGGTATAATAGTAGTACATAATTATTAATATTTTAACTAAAACTGCC